CCCCCCCCCCCCAAACAGATATGTCCACATCCTAATCTCAGAACCTATGAATATTGCTTTATATGGCAAAAGAGTACATGTCACCTTATATGCAAAAGGCATGATTAAGATTTTGAGAAGAGGAATTTATCTTGAATTATTAGGGTTGGCCCTAAATGCAATCACATTCCTTCTTATAAATATGAGGCAGAGTTTTGAGGCCTAAGAAGCAGCAGCAATGTGACCACAGAGGCTGGAGCCACAGGTCAAGAAATCCTGGAGCGACCAGAAAATGAAAGAAGCAAGAAACACATTTTCCTGGAAAGCCATTGGAGGGAGCACAGCCTGGCTAACACCTTGATTTCAGTTTTCTAGTCTCCAGAACTGTGAAAGAATACATTTCTGTTTTTGTTGTTGTTGTTTTCAGTCATCTAGTTTGAGTTAATTTGTTACAGCTGCCACAGAAAACTAACACAAAAACCTTAAAGGGAGTGAAAGATCCCAGTTACCACTATATATAAAATATCAATTAAAAAAAAAAAAGGACACCAGACATGAAACAGCATAATTTTTTTCTGAGATTCTAATGTGTAGCTGGGCTGAGGTAAGATATGAAATCAGAGCTAGAGGTAAGTTCAGTTAGGTACTTGAATGACACAACTAAAAAGCCAGAATGTCTCCAGACCCCTGGTACTTAGTGTGGTTCTTGGAACAGCAGCTGGGGGGGCAGCATTACCTTATAGGTGTTTAAAAATGCAGAACTGGGGGCTACATTCCAACCCTACTCATGTAGAATCTTCTTTTATTTTATTTTATTGATTTCAGAGAGAGGAAGGACGAGGGAGAGAGAAATAGAAACGTCAAGGATGAGTCATTGATCGGCTGCCTCCTACACGTCCCCTACTGAGGATTGGGCCCCCAGCACGGGCATGTGTCCTGGATGGGAATCAAACCATGACCTCCTGGTTCATAGGTCAACACTCAACCACTGAGCCACAGTCACCATGCTAGAATCTTCATTTTAATAAGATTCCTGGGTCATTTGTATGCACGCTAACATTTGAGAAGCATGCCTCTAGGGCAAGGCTATTTGGGAGATTTTGGAAGATTTAAAGCAGATAAGTGACATGGTAATATTTGCATTTTAGGTCAACCAATCTGGTGGATTATGAAGAACAGACTTAATAGGATAAAAATCAAGGCAGAAACAAGTGATTACAACAGTACTTGTAAGAAATTATGGAGTTTTGAATGAAGATGTTGCTAATAGAGATGGAAAATATTGACACAATATTTAGAAATATTTGGACCCTGGTCTGATAGGCGCTAATGCTCCTCACATCTAGGTTCTATAATGTGGCCCAGTTCTTTGTATTTCTATTTTAATGGGATCTTAGAATGGGATTCTCCCTGTGAGAGTTTCTGTTGAAGCACTAACAGATGACAGGATGCCCAAGTGAGTGTGAGAGACATTCTCCCTTCCATATGCAGGTTGACAAAAGAAATGGATTCAAGAAACTGATACATGATTCTTTGAGCCTTCAACCAGATCAAGGATATAAAAACATGTCAAAGAATTACAGGGGAAACTTCTTTGGAGGGCTGCCACTGCGTTGTGAGTACCCACCCTCTGTGGGGAATAGACGTAGCTGAGTATGGCCTTTTAACTAGAAGTCTATTGAGGGGTTCAGCCAGTGGACTATGGAAGAACTTTGAAATGAGTTTTCTGAAGGTGGAAAATGCAAAGAACTAGTGTTGTACTGATGCCCCAAAAAGTTTTAGTGGACTATAGACTGAGGTCTGACTCCACCTCTACTCCAGGAAATGTCAAGGCTAAGAGGATGACTGCTGCTTGGTGGTGGAGCCAGAAGAATGCTGATGCTTTAGGACTGGTCATCATTCCTAAAACTTAGCAGGACAAGGGATGTAAGCCAGGGAGAAGAGAGCTAGAGTTCTGGGACATATATCAGTTGGGGGCAGTAGAAACCCCTATTCATTCTGTGGGAGGAGGTCTCAACACACAAACTTGCTATTGGTAGGATATAGTTGTCTACTTCCAGAGTCTCAAGCAGTGAGAAGATATTATACAATGCCTCCTTTTACAAAGGAAGTAATTATAATTAGTGCTACACACATAATAAAAAATTGTTGGTAATCTTGTTTTGCTTATATACAGGATGGGGTAAAAGTAGGCTTAGAGTTGTGATTCACAAAACAGAGTTTATTCTCATATTATTACTTATTAGTTATTGCATTATTTTCCATACAAACAACTGTAAACTACTTTTGCCCCACCCTGTAAGTATTTATAATTCCTAGCTGTGTCTTCATGAAAGCTTAAAAGGAGAATTCTCCCACAGAGCACATATTCAGCATTTTATCTATAAAACTTCACTTTACTGTTTATTAAAGAACCAGGTCTGTTCAGAGTTGTGTCAGTCTGAGATTTTCTGTTCAGGTTAGGACAATTTTCTCTTTTCTTTCATTAACTGTAGCCAGATTTTAAATTTTTTTCATTGTAAAATTGCCCTGGCTAGTGTGCCTCAGTTGGTTGAGTGTTGTCCCATGCACCAAAAGGTCGCCAGCTGGATTTGCAGTCAGGGCACATGCCTGGGTTGTGGGCTCCATACCCAGTAGGGGGTGTGCAGGAGGCAGCTGATAAATGTTTCTCTCTCTCCCCCTCTCCCTTCCTCTCTCTCTTAAAAAAAAAAATTAATTAAAACATATTTAAAAATTTGTAAGATCAACATTACAATTTTAAGGAAGAACTTGCTTTTAAGCAACCTTAAATATATATTTTTAGTACTAATACATACACTGAAATTAAGATCTGTTCATATTTTTCAATCTTTCTTCTGCAAAATAGCAAAATAAATACCAACTAGCAGAGATGTAACCAAAAGGTGCCCCTTTGTCTGGTCTAGAAAATACTAGAATCCTAGACAATAAACCATTTAATAAAAAAGAGCTAAGGTAACCCTTGACAAGTCTGTCATCAATCCCCTCTTCTTTATGAAATTCCACATCTTGCCAAAAGATAGAGTTCTTGTATCCACCAGGGAAACGGAAAGTGACAGAGAAGATAAGAATACTGTTTCAGGCACTGAGAAACGGTGTCCACTACAACTGGCAAGGGTAGGCCAGGTCAGCATCAACTCTATCCTGTACCGTTATAGTACAACTTGGTACTTCAAAAATGACTGTCAAGTTAACTTGCTGTGACTCTTTTGCTCAAACACACCTGAAAATTCCTTATGAAAAGTTTAGATCAACTACAAAGTTAGAGGCACAGTCCCCACCCTTACTTCTGACACTAACTGCAAGTTTGTGGAGGGATTCCCTAAACTACCTGTTTCAGTAATTTGTTGTAAAGACTCATGGAACTCACTGAGAGCTATCACACTTGTGGCCTTTTGATAGCAAGACAGTTCAGCTTTAGAGGGTGGGACAAGTGGTCCTTAGACATTCTCTTCCAGCCTGATCAACCTCTTAGAGATTCAATTTCCTTACCTGTGAAATCTAGATAAAATCACTTATTATTAAAAGAGTAATACACCCTCTTAGTATTCCAGGAAGAGTACTTAGCACAGTGACTAGTAAACAGCAGGTAGATGCACAGTGAATGTTAGCTATTACCTGTAAAAACCAACACAGTGTTTATCTTGTCTGCTAGTGTGTCTGCTGACTCACAGTAGGTTCTCAATATATGTCAAAATTGAATGAATGGATGAATGAACTTTCAGATCAATCTGCAGAGTTAGTGCAATACAGCTTTCAGTCTGAGCCTCTCAAGCCTATGAAATCAGAATCTTATGCCTGACAAACCTTGTCCTTCCTGACCAATGACTCTATAATAGCTTCCTGGCAGACCTGTGATTTGATTGATTTCACTGCCCTTGCCCTGTTTGAGCTGCAAAGGTGGCATTTAGTCTCCAGTCTATTTCATCAGTTCCAGTCCTATATCTCTACTATATCTTAACAAGAACAAAAAATTGCAACTTATATCTAAACTAAAAAAAGCTAAATCTATATGAGTAGTTAAAAATTATTTTAAACAGAAACACGATATCAATAATAGTAAGTGGTACCTAACCTTTAAATCTCTTAATTTCATTTTAAACTGTAATGGTATTCATTCCTCAGTGATGACTCCTCAATACATTAATGTAAAGAAAGAATGTTCAAAATATAGAGACAATTTTTTACAATTTCACTGTTCCTTATCAAGGTCTTCAGAAGTTTATATTCTTTCTGGGGGAGTCTTGTACACTTACCCAATTTCCCAGCCTCAAAATCACTGAAATGTTGCTACTCAGCCTCGTCTTTCATTTATGGTCAGTTCTAGCTTTACAGTCTACTGGAAAACTCTCCATTTTATTTTGTAGCTGTTGTCAACTTTAAAAAGAACAAACGAATTACAGGTCAGTAATCTTAGTAATATACAGGGTGCCCCCCCCAAATGTATACACACTTTAACAGCCAATAGCTCAATTTTGAAAATGTTTATTGTTTTATAAACATTGCCTTTGTAATTATTCAAAGTGTGTGTATACATTTTTTGGGATACCATTCACATGACAATTATTTTTTTAAAGAAATAAATCAGTTGCAGGCTTTGGAAACACTAAATTCTCTAGTTAGAGAAGTGAAGTAATATTTAGGGGGTATGTAGAAAAGAACTTGAGCTTGCCCAAAGAGAGGGTCTGGTCTTTGCCCTCAGCTTTGCAGGATCTCCTGTTTGCCTGAGGGTCTTGGGTCATACTGGGTAGTCTAACAATATGATTTAAGGTCGGGGTTGGCACACCCATATAGTCAGGTTTGGGGCCAGCCAGCCCAAAAGACCAACAATGTGACTTTGGACTTTGAGTCACACAGGGTAAGTGGACCTGGAAACTGAGATTAATCAAGTGGGTAATCAATCATGCCCACATGATGAAGTTTCCCCAAAACTCTGGTCACCAAGCACCCATAAGCCTCCCTTATAGGCAGTAGTCCATGCATATTGTCATGCTTCGATGCTGAAATGATAATGTTTTCTGATTCAATGGCTAGAAGGCAAATGAAGCTCTGTATTGGAAACCCTCCTAGACTCTGCTCTAGGTATGTCTTCCTTTGGCTGATCTTAATCTGGATCCTTTCCCTTTAATAAGCCATAACCACAAGTGTAATAGCTTTCAGTGAGTTCCACGAGTCTTTACAACAAATTAGTGAAAGAAACTGAGGTAGTTTAGGGAATCCCTCCACAAACTTGCAGTTAGTGTCAGAAGTAAGGGTGGGGACTGTGCCTCTAACTTTGTAGTTGATCTAAACTTTTCATAAGGAATTTTCAGGTGTGTTTGAGCAAAAGAGTCACAGCAAGTTAACTTGACAGTCATTTTTGAAGTACCAAGTTGTACTATAATGGTACCAGATGGAGTTTATGCTGACCTCGCCTACCCTTAAAGTAAGTACAACCTGTCTTTAAAGTTTAAAGATCAATGACAACTCGAATGTACATTACTCTATAATAAACACCTTTATGAGGTTTTCCCATAAGAAAATACTTTTAAAATAAAGGGTGGAAAATATGTCTTTCAAGTATCAACAAGTGTTGCAAATTATGGCCAGGTGTCAACAACATGAAAATATGTTGAGTGATATACGATATGATTTCATTTATGTGAATTTCAAAACCCGGAATACTAATCAATGTTGACAGAAGTCAGAGTGGCTGGGGAGGGATAGAGAGATATGAGTGCTGATTGGGAAGGCCATAGGGAGTATTATGGAGTGTTGAAAATGGTCTATATCTTGATCTGGGTAGTAGTCTCACTTTAGCACACCTCAATTGTTTTTTAGACCTGTACCTCAATTTAAAAATGTTAAGTTCTTAGTCACGTAATAAGGGAAACATTGAGTGTAAAAAAAATTGTATTGATTTAACAAACATTTGCTGTCTGTTATGTGTCAGGCATTCTGCTAGTACTTGTGGATACAACATAGAGCAAGAACCAGAAATGAAACCTGTTTATAAACTACCAAGTTGGCTATTTTTAGTCTTTAGGCTACCATCAGCCACAACTTGGACTTTAAATTCAATGTGCTGTATTCTCTAGAATCAATCCTACAAATAAGCCTTTTATAATTTGCACATGAAAGATTTTATAAATAAATTCTACTTTACAGACTAGTTTCTATCTAACTTTAACATTGTCATTATCTTCTAGTGAACCTTTCATTATAGACAAACAGGTGACTCACTATCATCAAGCACATCTTTAGTTTTGTTTCCTTACCCTTGCTCAGGGCATGCTTTCTAAACAGTCTTGCTTCTCTTCCTTAGAAATATTGTCATCAGACTGTTTTCCCATTAACACTTTGGAAATCCCCCAAGGACTACAAGAAGACAAAGATAGTTCTGAGAGTTCAATGAAGTATATTTCTTTGGCCACGAATATCTAATAGAAATAAGATGCAAGCCATATATTGTAATTTTCTAGTAACCACATTAGAAAGGGAAAAATAAACAGGTGAAATTAATTTTAACATATTGACCCAACATACACCAACATAAGAATTAATTATTAATAATAAATATTATTTCAACATAAGAATTAAGATATTTTACATTTTGGGGGGTATTAAGTTTTCCAATTCTGGTGTGTATATCACACTTACTGCACATCTCAATTTGGATTTGCCACATTTCAAATGTAAATAAGCACATTTGTCTAGTGGCTACCCTACTAGATAGGGCAGTCCTAGACACAGTCTATTTTCATTCCTTCCTTCTCCATTAAGTCTCTGGAACTGTAATGAGAATATTCTGTCATGTGGATTCTAGCATTTATTGTTAGTACCGCTCATTATCATATAGCCTCATGGGAATATTTACCTTTTCGTGCATTTGTCTTGTGTCATAGCTAACCTGTAAATTCTTTTAAGGCTGGGACTGTGGACTGGTTGGATCTTAAGGTTGGAAGTAGCTTTAACAAAACCATCACCTAATTTTTCTCTTGATTCATGGCTCCCCTGCTCCTAGTCCCTTTTAAGTAAACCTTAAGAATCTACTTAAAGTCAAATCCAGTGATGAGGGCTTCCATCCATCCTAAGGCAGAAAACTTCTCGGGCTAGTGCTAGAAGGGAATCTTCTTTTCAGGACCTGAAATCTGTTTCTCTTAAGTGTGCACCTCTTAAGACTACCTGAACAAATCTAAGTCACACAATGGGTCTTTACTTATTTGGATATAGTCCCAGTAGCTTTTTCTCTTTTATAAAAATCCTCCCAAGTTTAATCACTACTTCTTCATTGGTCATACTTTTGAGTTCTCTTCATCCTTTTTGCTCTCCTCTGAAATAATTCCAACTTCTTTGAGGTCTTCTTAAAGTGCTCAATCTAGAACTGAACATAGAACTCCAGATGTGGTTTGTCCACTGAAGAGTATCACTGGATCACTATTGGCTGCCTCTCTATAAAACACAGTTCAACCAGGACACAAAATACATGCCTTATGGGGGGTGATGGGAGAGAAAAAGGGTGCTATGATACATTAGTAACTCACTTTGTAATAGGGTATATAAAACCTCACATTTAATTAACTAACCAACCAAGATTTAAAAATAAGAATATACTAACAAAACTAATAGTCTAAAATATTAATAGTTTCATATTTAAGCATGTTACAGGCAGCAGGAGTTCCAGTTCCCCTTTTTGCTGGCCTTGACCACAGGAGTATAGCAGATGCTGCAACATTCTGTCCCCAGATATCAGCAGTAAAACCCATATAGAGAAAAAAATACCAGACGCTGACACACCCCAAAGAGAACATCAAAACCACCTGAGAGCTGGAATGTGAAAGTGCACATGGCCAGAATTCCTTAGTTCCCCTCTTTCCAAGACCCCTTTATAAAAATCCCTGCCTGCACTGAGATGCTAAGTTGGGCTTTGGGATGAGTCTCCCATCTTCTTAGGTGATCAGCACTTGAATAAACCTCTTTCCTTCCACCAGCACCTGTGTCCTGTGTTTGGCTTCAGGCCAGCAGGCCCTAAGAACCTGAGGGTCGCTTAGGACGGTTTCAATTCCATCTTTGCATGCCTGGCTTTTAGTGCAGAACTATACACACATACACTGTACAGTTCTTGAGGTTAGTTAATTTTTGAATGTTGTCTTCCTGTTTTTTTCAATTGAGCCAGAGAACAGTCAGTTGTCAGGTGTTTTGTTTTTGGTGGGGGTGGTGCAACCAAAGGGCCGACTAGCAGAGATAACTTGAAGAGAAGTAAACTGAGAATCCAGAAAGCTTAAGAAAGCAGGACTTGAAACCAGGGAACCATGTATAAAGTATGCAGAAGCCGGAAGCTCTGGCTGGTGATGACTATGGCAATTACCTGGTTCTTCATACATACTCTCTGCTCTTCTCTCCCTTACCTTTAGGAGGAATTATTTTCTCCATGTCTTCACCTTCCAGGCTAGGGCAGGGGGAAGATTCAGCCAACTCAAGTGATTGCAGAGTTAGACCCTCACACGACCACGAGCTGCAGAACGCAAACCAGGCCAGGGCTGGGCACGCTCCAGACCGAGGAGTCCGGGGCACGCGCGCCGCGCCCACGCCCGTCCGGGGGCGGGCCCTTGCCTCAGGCTCTGCCCTTCTCGCAGCTCGGAGGCCGGGAGGCGGGGAGGCGGCGCGCGCAC